TTTAGATACTTTAATGTTATTTTCTTCCTATACGTTTTGTCTTTGTCTTTTTTAGTCTTTGTGCGAGCCTTTTTTTTTTTTTTTTTATTTATAGCGTTTTTTCAGTTCTAACTCTGCGGTGTACTACGAGATTTATTTTTAATTTGAATTTCAAGTATGCCAATGCTAAGCTTGCTCTTAGCGTTGCATTGCAAATTGAATATTATATGTCACTTCTTCATATGTTAGAATACAAAAAATGAAAACAGCTCAAAAAATGGAAACACCTATACAAAAAGCAAAAGTCTTAGAATATCAGTACATTTTACATTAACCGTTGTGTCTCAATATTGATCATTTAAAGCATTTCTTCATATCTCGTCGAAATTTTAAAAATGGTACATTGTTGTCGGTGTTATGTTAATATTGGGGAATTTGCAAATTGATACAAGTTTAATTTATTGATAATATTTCTCCCATAATGCATATGGGCTTAATGACATGCCCAGTAATGCAGAGTTTGAATTCGGTTCAATATTCCTTAACAAATACACAAAGCATGCATAAAGAAAAACGGAAGTTGACCCAGACAACCAAGTCAATACGGCCTGACCTGATTGACCTCACCTATAGTGGTTGACAAGTGTTCCGACATGAATGCTTGCCGCGTTTAGTGATATACTGCATGATCATAAACGGCGGGAAACCTTATTACATGGACGCCTCCAAGCAGTCTAGCTGGAAATTGGTCGTCGGTTAGACTGTTCTCAATTCCATACAGTGATCGCTGTTCCCCTTCTCTTTTAGTTCTATTTGTTATTTTAAAAATTACGAATACTGTATATATCATTCAATCAACTACTCGGCAGTAATGAGTAACTCATTCGCACGATAGTACTGCAACCTGTATTAATTCTGTTACAGACAACTTGACCTTTGACTCCCATTCGTTTCGGTCGCCATTTTGCACAGGAATGAGCTAAGCCATCAAAACTCTGTGAGAGAGGAGATAGAGCTATTGTGCAACTTATTTTGTTCTTCTTCACCTAGTTTTTAAAAAGAATTTTTTTTTACACAATAATGTTTTTGTATTTTTTCTACTGTGTGTGAGATTTTTTTTCTGTAATTTTCCCTATAGAAATATAAAGTCTACTACATGCAACGTTTCTTGTGGCCAACTTGAACCCTCGAATATAATATGTTGTGATATCGAATATATAAGTCAGCCAAAGACCATACGCCTTTAACAGACAAAAACACAATTAGCAAGTACCTGGAACTTGCAAACAACTCAGGCGAATTGTCAATTATTATATACAAACCCCACCTATTATTTACCCACGACTGTGTTAAATCACAGATATTTTAATTTAACTGTGACTTTGTAAATGGGTCACATTACAGTTTGATATAGGTTTCACGCTACATGCACTTTAAAAATGATTATTTTATTCATTGAGTCAATAGGTCAAGTCAATTTAAATAATAATATTTAATACTGATTTAATTTCATCCAGTTTGCATTTCCTCGCTTTTATATAATCACACGCTTTAAGTTAGAAGTCTACTGATAAATGAAAATACCCAGAATTTATCCATTTTGCAATACTCCAAGGCAATATAAGGGAATTGACCTGTTTCGGGGTCACCTGCCTTAATTTCTAGAAAATTATGGTTGTATTGTAGTTAATACTTTATTATAACGATTTTACCATAGGTTCCTATGCCATATCTCAAAATCTAGCGTGGTGATATAGGCTGGAAAAATTATATATTGTTAATGATGAGTACTTCTTGTTGTCCTGAATTATTTCAAAAGTATGGGTTTTAAAAAGTGTCAAAAATGCAATTCTTCTTCAACATTGTGTTCTCTTGAATTGTTTTTAAAAATAGACAAATTTCTCAAAAAAACGTAACACACAAACTAATGCTATTTCATCGTGCCATGGCCTTTATTAATTGCTTCATGATTGTATATAATAAATCAATAAACATTACCATGCGATTTATGACCAGCTTTATCAAAAAATATGAGTAGATTTCTACCTTAATAGTGGTGTGTGAATTCAAACAGTCCGTGCGTGGTTCTAACTTGCCATTTGTTTTGAATTTCAGAGAATACAATACGCTTAGTATTTTCATTGTGATGTTTGTGTTGGCTTAATTTAAGCAAAGATGTGACTAATTCATGTTAGCATCACCTTCACTATTCTCGAAGATAGTAATAATGTCAATTTACGATCGAATTGCCGTTACCAAAGTAACCATAATGAATGGCTTATTAGGCCGACTGGACGATGACAGTAACATTTACAAAGTGTTTTAAATTTAAATTATTTTTCAAAGGTCCTAATACAATAACCTAATAGACATATAACATGCACATCAATAAATTCAAATGAAAATTGCCAAAGAACAGTTTGGGATTTAATAAAAAGCCATTTACAATTCAATGTTTGTTGATGACGTGGACGTACGGCTTGTAAATCAGTCTGTAGAAAGAGTGTTCCATGTGATTTATGTTGTCTATTTTTATTCTATTAACACGAACACGGTCGTTATTATTGTACCGATAATATTTTACAGTTTAGCATTGTATCTTACATTATAAATATACCTTTTCGATGATAAATGTAAATAATGGTGTGTGAAATATATGCAAATTTAAAACTATAATAAAATACACTAACGCAATTGACGTTTGTTTGTTTTCTTTGTTATGTTATGGCTCCCGTGTGAAAACTTATAGCATTGAAAAATGCAAAAAAAAATAAAATTTTGGTTTTCAAAGCAAAAAACGTATACACCAATTTGAGTTTAACGTGGATGTGTGTGCGCATGCGCTGTTTCACTGATATCTAAACATGTACTGTATATATATGGCATTTCTATGAAACTTGCATAGGATAAACTGAAAGGCTGAGCACAATTTCGTTGAAGTATCTGCATGATATTAATCTAATTTGCATAACAATTAGCACAATTCTAACTTGTTACACTTTATTTCACTATTTTCTCAAGAATTATTCAACATATTTCATTGTAACTCGGTATATACGTGATGTAGGATATTTATTAACTGCAAACGTCAGGGTATATGAAAATGTGACAATTATCTACTTATATTATCAATACAAATATAGAAAAAGAACGGAATTTATTTAAAGCGGGGAGTCGTCACCTTGCATGCGTCAGATGGCCATAGCGTGTCATTGTTTACAAACAAGCGTCTACCCATGAGCCTTTGCGTTTTTAGCATGTGTTGTCGGTTGGCACTCAATTCCCGCGCGTGCGCAGGTGACAACCCTCTCGCTTTAATTATTTTGTCTACAGCCGCGGAAGCCTAATGCATTACATACTATTCGTGGCATTACAGTGTTTATTCTTATTGCTCAGCTAATCGTTATATTGAGTACTGTAATTATTAAATTGACACGCGTCACAGCTGATAGGAAATGTGGGTTTGGGTCACGATATCTGAAATGTGAGACATTTTCGACATTTTCTCTTCCGTCCGAGTTTACTGCAAAATTCATTCTTAAAAAATCATAGCTTGTATATTGTTATGACATTAGTGTGAACACAGAAATATCATATACTTGTTTCTAATTAGAGGTTATACGCGACCTCTCTGTATAAAATTAGTAAATATGGCGGGAGATAATAACCGAGCGTAAGCGAAGTTACGATCTGCCCCAAATATGCTATTTTTACGAAGAGAGATCTTACAACCGATTCAGAATACCCGAGAGTACCGTTTATATCCACATTATAACAAGCTAGCACACAAATTACGCTACAAAATCGTTGTTTATATCACGTTGCTCTGTGTAAATTTCCAATTCTCTCAACATATTTTCCTGGACTATACTACTATGTAAAGGGCAACGAAGAGCCATGTTTTAGTTTTTCAAAACACCTAATAGTGATATTTCTGAAAACATAATACCCCGATTTTTACGTTATATAACGATTTCCACGTGGATTTTTTTGTTTTCATTTTTGTAAACTGGCATTTTAATTCATTTTGTGGGGTTAAAATTTACCTGCCGTGTAGTGCGCGTTCTTCAAGTTAATTTCGTATTAAAATTGCAGGTCTTAAACACATTCCATAAAACAATTCTAGTATAATATTTCAACAAACTAACAGCAATACCGACCATACATTATTTCCGCACATAAACGAAGCCAAAATAGTAAATATATATATTACATAATATATACAAAGTTTTTAGCTGTGATTCTTTGCATTTACTTTTTTTACATCGATTTACTAAACAGGCGACAGACCCGGCGAGTGACAGGGACGGATGCGTCAATGACGTCACGTGTTCGATTCGAAGGTTAAGCTGCAATGAACGCGCATATTCCTCATAAAGACCGGATCGCTAAATCCAGATTAACCATTTTATAATAAACACGATTTCATGAGTGTAAAATTATTATGACTGTGTTACTATTAAACTGCACACTACGTTCAAACAAAGCGAAAGCGTCCCGTGGCAGTTCGCTGAACTGCAAATTAAATTTAACACTCATTAAATATGAATATGCATGAGTTCCGCGAAATGACACGTACGACGTCATCTATTCAGCGTAATCTAGGCTCATTGGAATTTGTTGTGCACTGACCAACCGACACAGTTTTGGCTGCACACTAGGTGGTTGACGTCACGTATACTAACCGAAAACGGCGTGTGCATGTTAGTGATCACATTGCGGTGTATGAAGAGCGGGCACCCTGCGGATTTTCACACCTGGTCCCGAGACGAGGTCGTCTACACCAGCGTAGCTTAAAGCCCTCGCCTTCAGTGCGTGTATGTGTATGTTGTAGCAAGACGTTACGGGTTCATTCGCTGCGTGAAAGACTATGACAATCTGTTCGAAAAATTGACTTCGTGGGTAATAAACCGAAGTCATATTGGAGAAGCCTATATATCTGACGAAAGCACTTTGTTGAATTATCTAGTTCCAAAGTACAAGGACATTTGTTCCTATGTCTGTTAAACTTACTGGTCTGCCATAATGACGGAATCGGCCGACTGTAGTAGTGAACTCATCGAGCTCATCGGTACATTATTTGACAATTCTGACCAGTCGGACATGTGCTTACTCATCGACGGACAGGAGGTACATCTACACAAACTTGTGATTTTTAAGCAAAGTGAAGTGTTCCGCGATTTGTTTGAGAAAGCGACGGACGCAAGCGACCTTTACCACCACATCAACAATACCAACGAGCATCCCGAGTGCATGCAGGTGTTTCGCAATTTTCTTGAATTTTTCTACACCGGAAAAATCGATCTGTCTACCGACACGATTGTCCCTATCGTGTTCCTGGCTTATAAATACAAAGTCTTGAGTTTATCTGTATGTTGCCACACATATATTAAACGGTATCTCTCCAATGAGTCACCGCCCCCCGACATCGACGTTGTAGCGGCCTGGTATGTGCACACACTACTACAGGCCAGCGATTTCGCTTGGCTGCGTGACCTTTGCTTCGAGATGATGAAACGTACATTGTATCAGCTGATTGCCAGTTCAACAAGTTGGTATAAATTAAGCTTTGACGATGTGTTCCAATTGGTCCGCAACTCTGACGTCCTCGTGAAAGATGAGTTCAGTCTGTATGATGCTATGGAAACATGGTTGGAGCATTGTTACAATGACGATTCCGAACAATTATCGACCTCCCTCCAAGAATGTATACAGTATGTACGATTTCCGATGATGTCACCGACGCAACTGGCTAAAGTTCAGGTGGGATATACTTTCCGTTTTAGGTACCACCCAAAATTAAAAATAATATTCTTTTGTTTATATTATTTTTAACATTTCATGTTACAAGAATAATGAAAAATAAAACAAAAATATAGGATCAAATTGATCTATAGATTTAATAGAAAATAGAAATGTTTCGTCTGTTTTTTATGGCAACATTTTTCTCGGTGCTATAAGATGAAAAATGATAAGTAGTGTCTTTCAAGGAACTTGTTCTCGTATATAAATATTACGAAATAAAAATTATCGATGTTCTAGTCGGAGAATATCAACATTGTATCGACACAATTGTTTTTACAGGATTCAAATTTGTGCAGAGAGCACCTGGATTTGTACTCGCAGCTGTTATTAGAAGCGTACCAGTTTCACACGTGTGGCACACAGGTAGAACCAGATGAGTACTCCAGATTTGTACTTCGAGATTATCTTATACAACCAGATAAATTGCCTCGTCCACCGAGTCAGAAACCTACAACACCGCCCCCCAGAGAGCCAAGCGAGAATGGAGACAGAGACACTATGAATAATGGGAATAACCGTCATGCTGCAAATACGACAGACGATGAAATGTCAGAAAGCGGAAGTGAGGACGGGAAATACCCATCTTCACATTCTACATCAGCATCCCAGGATGACTTGGAAAATGAATATATAACGAGCGACGTGGGAAATGGTAACAACGATGACGCCATGAATACACGTAGTGGTGGTTATCATTGTGACAACAGTGTGGATACAACAACAGCACCTGTGACCGAAAACAGTGCCAATAATCTAAGTGACACTGGCCACGGCGAAACAAGTGGTGCCAACTAACGAGAATAATTATTATCCCTCAAGTGTTAGACAGTCATTTGGTTATTATTATTTGTTATTGGTTAAAAACGGTCACATGATCGTTTGGTAAATATTGACTTCGAGCTTATTTCTTACATGTGACGTCATTTTGTGTGTTACTGGCCTCTGAAGTCATAAATACGGGCACTAATAGCTGTAGAAGATAACAGAATGCATGGGTGGCATTTTTATTGAGATTCTCCACTGGGGGCTAATTTTAACTCGAAAGTTTGCGTTTCGGCTCTCAGTTTTGGTATTGTTGTCCCTTCATGGGATAATAAAATAGACCTAAATCAAAACCAAAATCTGTATAATATAGCAGCAATTATCTGTTTCTAATTGGTAATATTAGAGTGGTGTATTTGATGAAGTTGAATTCTGCCAAAAGTGTATTATACGATGTTGACAATGTTTGTAAATTCCTGTGACGATATGCCGTCCCGTGACAACCGACATCTTGCATGAATATCCTATCGCAATGTAGCCATGTACAAGAACACATAGTTTAGTAGAAAATTTATGATATATTTAGAAATATATTTTCGTGAGTGCGATATTATTATCATTCTGATGTGAATATTCTGGAAAGAAGGTATGAAAGGTAGATGCAAAACTGCACTGAGTGAATTAACAACGATGTAGGAAGAATGAACTTCACATTATTTTCACAATGCTAACTACCAAAGTTTCACTGCTTTTTGCTTTTTCGAAATTGGATGCTGCGCCCTCTATGGTATAATTCACTCATTGATTCCCCTCTGAACACGATGGTGGCGACTGTAACCACTCAAAACGTAGTTACGTCATTAAAAACGGTATAATCAGACAACGTTAGCGTGTCAAACTCGTATACGATTAACGTTATGCTAGATGTGTCGACTTTCATAGACAGTGTTTTGCATACGAGCATAAACTTGTACAATTAATCAATTTCGGATTATGCAAATTAATACATTTTCCGACTATTTGAAGACCAACAAAAAAACGTTTTAATCGATTTTAGTCGTTTTTGTAGTTCTCCTAATTAAAATATGAATCTGGATTTAGCATGTTCCGTTATTCACTGTTGTTTTTTTTTTTGGCGCCACCTAGAGTTTGCTATATTCAGTTCGTTCTCATTCCTAGAAATGCATGCAGATGTAATTACGTCTGATCAAGGGGTACGTTTATTTTACAAAGAACACTGTGAATAAATTGAGGATTTCGTTATTCACTCTGACCTTCAGCCTCATTGTTTTATAGTACAGGCCGCATCCGGCAACAACTACGTCTGTTCATCACACTTCGAATGACAGTGAAGTTACGAATCGATCCTGAAGGCCATTGTTGCATAGTTGCATCAAGTGTTGTCAGTCGATGTTACATTTAGGTAGAGCGGCGATTTTTACGGCTTAGAACTCGCCATTTTATTCAGGTTGTCATAAGATTCAGTAAAATTCAAATACCTAGATATCGCACTACGGTTCAGCATTCAAAAGACCGTGAACTCCTGATAAAAAATTTGAAGGCGTTTGGTGTAGTTACTATATGAACATGTAGGTCGTGCACATCTTGGACCTACTGAGAACGAGCCTACCATTTGCTGACCGTAATCGGACAGAGTATATCAACAACTTACTCTAAGTACTACTCAGTAGACGAGTAGTCTACATCGAATACAACAAACAAACGCTCATATCCAACACGACGTTTCTAAACAAGTAACGCACACTTTTAATTCAATTCACGACTCACGAAAACGCAACTGCGCATGCTCAGTTCAGTTTTGGCAATAAGCTGTCGGAAAAAGGTGTGTGTCCGTAAAAAGTATATAAAAAATCCCATTATCACTAAATCAATAGGTTTACTTAGTGATCGTAGTCCGATTATTAGTACGCTGTAGTTATGGCAACGTGCTGGTATACTTCGGTGACTTGCAGTGAGGATATATGCCATGCTTCTGCGTTATTTTATTTTATAAAAATCAATAGTCACGCAACCGGCCTGGATGAAAATTTGTTCAAAGTTAACCCCAGTAGTTATTTTTCTCAAAATTGTCGTCGTTTCCAGCACAATAAAAGCTTAATACTTTTTAGAAAGGAATCATAATTGGAGGTGATTGTTCTCAGATTGGGTTAAATCGGGAAACAGTAAGTTTTCATAATTCTGTGAATTCGTTCATATATTTATGAGCGATGGCCATTCCGCCGAGACATGTTCGATCTCAGTCCAACTGCAGCGTATACAAAATACGATGTATGCACACGATGAACGCCGCGTTTTACAAGTTTATTCTAAACTAAGCCGTGCTGTACGTTGCAGGTACAGTGAAGCACTAGGCCACATGTAATCACCAAAGCCTAGATTACTGTCGTTTGATCAAGATTCTAGCAACAGTGATTAATGAGTCCAGACGTATTCCCTGTGAGTAATTGTACACGATCGTTTTATCAATTAATCTAAAACTGTTCACCCAGATACATCATCGGTATCCCGTGGTCAGATCTAACAGTATACGTGAATGTTGAAAATCGTTTGATCTAGTCTCACAAATTACCACCTATCAACGGTTGACAGAGTGCATGGGGAGCTTGATTGTATTACAATCACCGAGAAATATAGGATGTCCCGACGCGGACGGTATATATTAGTAAAGAGTCATGCCCCGCGAACGTTATCAATTATTGAACCGCCATAATTCCGAGGGCAATTACAGCTAACATGTCATGTGCCAAAAAGCGTTAAACCTGAAAGCAGGTGAATGAATGAATCAAAGTATAGGAACTGTTACGCTTGACAAATATTGGCTAATAAGCGTGTCTTCTGGCGAAATAAGTTGTCCAGACTTCAGGTTTGAGCTAATTGGACGATGCACGATGCGAACGCTGTAATTAGTTTCTTTTTATGTCGCAATTGAACGTAGGTATATAAGTAGCTAACCTGAGGATGAGGGCGGTCGACAATTGCATATCATTTTCTCCGATGAATATACTATCAATCTTTGATTTGATTTGGATTTATTACTCATATCAAAAGGTTACTGGAAACTGCCCAATTAGATCCGTAGAAGTCCCGACTTTCTTTCCTGCTACTATTTACGAGTATGTGACATGGAAAGGAGTCTATCATCACAAGGCAATCTGCTACTCAAATAAAAAGGGTAGTTTCTGCGCAACTATCTTCGTATCTGTGCGGGTGTACAAATGAGGCTCACCAAAAAACGGAATATTTACGCAGCAACTGTTTTTTTTTTAGGGCTCTAAAAATCGACAAGCATTTTAAACAAGCTAGAAAATATAGAAAATCAAATTAACAAAACAGTCTAGTAATCCGTCAATAGTCGTCAGATTTTGTGTGAATGGAACTCACATCTAACAATAATCGTCGTGATGCTTTTAATTACAAATACCAACTCCATGTTCCGTTATTACAAACGAAGAATATATCTTTCACCTTATTTTTTATCTGTAAGAATAACCGAGTGCGTTTGCTTAAAAAGTAAAAGCTACTAATATATTATATCTTTTAATATAATACAGACGCCTATTGTATGTACTATGCCACTGTGATTGGCCGTTATTGGACTATAAACAAACCGACTATTTTTGCTAAGTTCAGTAAACCACAGTCACTCTACTAGTAGAGTGACTGTGAGTAAACGCTGCATTGTGTTAGCGTGAATCACATCTAATTCAACCGTACACTCAGTCGCTTACTTGTTGAAAGTCAATGAAGCGTTACAAACTGCTAACGGATGTTTTGTTTCCCCGCACTCTGACATTTTCCTGAGTCGCCACCCAAATTGAAAAATCTAATGATTCAACACTTTGGTTAAAAGTATATTCTAAAATGAATCGGATTGCCCCGACATTGATTTCCGCTTCCGGTAAGCTTGTCCTTCAATGTTATTTTGTTTAAACATGGATGACGTACAGAGGATTTGGTTCGTAAAAATAATGACGTCATACACTTTGCATACCCGCATACCTGAATCAGCACACTTTATTAAAAACATATTTATATGTTTTGTCCATGTTCATTCATCATCTATATTGATATTATTTTATTGACACCATAAAACAAGATCAAAAGTCCCATCAATGAATTCTAATTAAGCTTATGAACCAACTACTTCATATTTGGTGCGATACGCTGTTTGTATTCCATTAATTTTGATGTGCTGTCGATTCTTCACTCGGGCCTGCAATTAAATATTTCACAATACAGTGATCAACTGGTAAAACCATTCACATCAGTCATTGCATCTGCTTATTGAATGTATATGCTTCTCCAACATTAGTGCTGTTAAATATTTTGTGTTTTTAACAGTCAGCAAACCAATTACATGTTTGGTGATTCGGTACCATCTGTGGCGACTTACGATATTTACTAGCAATAAACAGGTTTTTGTGAGTACTTTTCAAAAACGTGCGGTAGCTTGGTCAAACCAGTAACTTAATTAAAATTCTGAAGGGTCTAATTTCATCTTTTGTTATGAATTGTAATTTGATCGTACACAGATAATCGGCTCATTCGGTTGCTAAGTTTTAAGACTATGACTACATGTTTGATTTTTTGATTTTAAATAAATATATATTTAATCAACCTACATCCTGAATGGCTTAAAATTAGGATTGGATCATGCGAAGGGTACTTTAAGAAGACATGTATAAATATCTATTGATATAAAAAAATGACGAGCAAGAAATTAGCACGTGATCACAAGCACAACAATGAACGACGTGCACAGTAGCAAGCTATATTATAGTATCATAACTGATTTTGATTTTGTGAGCGGCATTCAACTACACAGAGGATCAGATATTTCCCGTTATATCAGGAAAAATATAAAATACAGCAGCCTGATTTAATGTGTTGATATTTTAGACAATTGAGCAAAACATTATAACGCCACTCAGTGTATTGAGAGTATTTTATTGCAGTCGAACAATATAAAACTTATTTTATTATAATGTTTAGCAGCGATAGGGGCCATAATT